CTCCAGCCAGGGGCTTGAGGATCGTTTTTTCCTTCTGACTGCTTTGAGGTTGACGCCGACAAGCTGAGGCCTTCGCAGTTTCTGTTCAGATCTAGCTGCACCGTCATCACAGCGTCGCCTACATCAGCAATGCTCGACTGGGCGGCTGTGCAGGCGAGAGGTTTGGTGGCTACAACGCCCAGTATAGCATTGCCGCCACCAAGATCCAGCAAGGGAAACCTTGAAAAGGAGCCGCAACAACATGAAGTTAGTCGTCAAAACGGAAGCGGACAGTAATAGAAGGCGGAAATCATGAAATACTGAAGGTATCTGTCGACGGGATCTGACAAGAACTCGAAGCCGCCGCCTCCGGCATCCGTCGTCGCCATTGCTCTCAGGATCCGACGCACCACATAGGCATTTGAGTACATCGCAAACACCGGGCAAGCGATGTGTACCAGTACTCGTTCAATCGGAACAGGTAGCAACCTGCCGTGACGGGATCCTTATATCTGCCCGGCGAGCGCACCGTATACTCCTGTTCCACCATACGTACATGTGTGTTGGCCCTCCGACCGCATTGAATGCCCGGTTCCACTCGCCAGTGTTCGATTGGGACACTTAGCGTGAGCAGGCGAGCCCGTGTGCACCATCGCCGCTCTCCAGGCCTGTTTTGCTAATTACGTGACCCCCACCCCACATCCCCACTTCGAAACACGCAGTAAAAAGTGCAAAAACAATACTCTCTATATATCAAAATGTAAGAGTTTTTTGGTTTTGCATAGGGCATAAAAAACGTCATACATTTTGTTACGGAGAGAGTATATGATATTTTTTTACATGTGCACAACTGAAACCTACCATTTCACCAATTCAGGTCTTAATAATCGAGTGATAGCACAAGAAAGAAAAACAACAAATCAAATCGTGAAGTGCCAAAATTCAGAGGCCAGTTTGAGTTAACTTACTATTCATGGCATGATCTCTTTTGTTTTTTCTCGAGCTATGGGTTATATATTTAAATCTGTTTTTTAATACTGTTGCGTCAGCTTAGGTTCGAACACACACCAATTGGAAATGAAAGACGATGCTCGCCAATGGGCCACTGCTAGTGATGGAAATGTTCAATTTTGCCTGTTATAAGTTCACAGGTTGTTTTTTAGTGTGTTTTCTGTACTTATGCAGGATTCTTGGCCTGCTTGTACTTTTCTACTATTTCTGTCATAATACATTACAAGCAGTTCTCCAACACGGTTCTCATAAAAATAGACAGTGAGATATTGCTCAGATCCTGCTGTAAGCAAAGTACTGCAGAATATCATTATCAATCTGACATAACAGTTTTCAGGTGAAAGCTGAACCAACCTAACCATCACCATAACCGCAGCAAAATGAGAGAATCAACAAATCTATTTTGTTGCAATACAAGATACACCAACCAGTAGAAAACGCAACAAATAATAATGCATCTATACCCTAACTCGAGCAGCAGCCAGCTCTCTTCAGCGAAGACACGTCGTCTTTCACATTTATATTCTCCCCTTTGCTTGGGGCAGATGAGCCGTCGTCTCCTGCATCAACCGTCTTCCTGCTCGCAATTCGGTATATCTGAGTCAAAACTTCTGAGAAAGCGTTGTCTACATTTGTCGCGTCTAATGCAGATGTTTCCATGAAGTACAGTGACTCCGCCTCAGCATATTCCTGCCCATCTTCAGTTGAAACAGCCACCAAGTGACGAAGATCAGATTTGTTGCCAACTAACATGACAACAATGCTAGAATCAGTGTGATCTCTCAGCTCTTTTAGCCAGCGCGCCACATTGTCGAATGTAGCACGGCGAGTGACATCATACACAAGCAACGCGCCTACTGCTCCTCTATAATAGGCACTTGTGATAGCACGGTATCTGACAAATGAAGAGAAAAATATCAGGCAATCATATAACTGAGCAAAAAGGGATGCAAAAAAAAAAAGGTGCTGCTAGTGACCAGTGTTGATTCCACCAGTCGTGCTAGAAATGATCTACACAAACAGCAATTACGTACAAGAGTGAAAATAAATGTTGTGAACATCGAATATCATACAGTGCAGCAGATCTCAGAATGAACAGCGCAATCTCTTAGCCAAGGTTTTATTCGGATGTGAAATGTCATATAATATACACTGTGTCAAGGATGAAAGCTTTGTTAGTGATGAAACTACAGAATAATTGAATTCATGTGCCAACTGCTAGCGGTGCCACTGATAAGGGCAAGAGACATGGGATGGGCCACACTTTTTCCTCTCCACTAAAACCAGATAAACAAGAGCAGCATGGTGGGCTTGAGCAAACAATCCTCGACTTCATACTCAGTATCCTCAGTTAGAGGTCATAGAAGTAACAAGTAATGTTCCTTTGGTAAAAGCATACGAGTCTATCTCTAAGAAGCCAGAGGTAAAGCAGAACAAATATCTGCAAGTATGAGTCTATATCTAAACAATAATCAAGGTGGCTCGAAGAATAGGAGAGGGGATATTGAACTTACAAGGTACAAGTATCAACACAATAAACAGAAAATATCCCACAAGTATAACATGAGTTAGACATCATACAAAGGGAAAATAAACCGCTGTAAAAAAAGTAATGATAGGTGACTTTTATTGATAAATTAGAGAAAAGGAACTGTCTCCACCCTAGCTTTTTTTTGTATTTTGCATTGGATGATTGTCTCCCATTACAGTTGCATAGCATTCAGATCTAATTTCTCAATTTGCAAGTTCCAGTAGCATGTGAGTCATTTTGTTGATGGATAAAAATAAATTTGTGAGACCTGTTTCCTAGTGAACACTTTAGTCTCGAACAGGAATCACATAGCTATCATACTGTCCTCTCATTAATGCAAGAATTCCCTTGATGAACCAATTCATGGATATGTATATCTATAGTCTAGTAAACAAAGCATAGCAGAAAAATTATCAAATCAAGACTGTTAGCGCTGCAATTTATACTGCTCCTTATTTTCTGCAATCAGGTTTTCATCCTATAACCTGTGTCCGAGCAGAGAGTAGGCAGTGGCTTTCCTGATGATGCATCGAAACCGCTCCGTATTTTCTGCATCCCCTGCTTTTGTGTGACCATTGTTTCCGTTAATGATGGAAAATGGGGTAGCTTGGTTTCAAAAAGAACATGTTGCTCCTCTAAAGTGGACTCGATGACCTGCTGCTTCAGTTGCTGGCAAGACAACTAGCTGATCAAAATCATTTGCATCGTACTACAGGCCACATAAGAGCATCTCCAATAGATGATGCAGACGTAAAAATAACCGAATTTACATCACTAAGGCCCCAAAACGGTGCTCCAACAGATGATGTAGATGCAAGTTTTTTTCCTCACTATTTGCTCCAGATGTAAAATAGGGCATTTGGTGATGCAAATTTGCATCACCAGCCGCGCCCTAGCAAAACATAGCGGTCCGCGCGCACACCCCCAACTGCCACGCTGAAACTTCCCGCCACCCGCCCGCCTTCCCGCCTCCCGCCGGCCACCAGCAAACCCCATGGACCCCACAGCCGACACTGCTGCTCCGCCGCACCTCGCCATGGCCGCCCCCGCGTCTCCTGCCGTTCCCGTGGCCGCCGCCGGAATGGGAGAACCGCCGAAGAAGAAGGCTGCCGCGGCCAAACCACGTGGTGGCGGCTCGAAGAGGCTGCCGCGTGACCCCGTCACAGCTTCATCCCGGCCGAAAAGATGAAGGCGGCCGCGGCTGCTTCTGCTGCTTTGTTGCTGCCGTTGCTCGCGGCAAGTGCTGCTGCTGATGGCACGCCTGCTCCCTGATCACCTCAAGTCCCGCCGCCGGCCATGGAGGAGGAGCCGTCAACGCCCTCGGCCACCGTCTCCAACATGTTCGATGAAATGTCGCAAAGGTAAAAAAAATCTTCTTCATTTTTTTTGGTCATGTTCATATGAATAGGATGTGAGATTACGTGTATGTGCATTTGTAGTCTTGATGATGACACATTTATGTGCAAGAATATGATACGACATTTGATGATGAGAATCTTGACATGGAAGAGAAGGGTTTTGTTCAGAATGCGAAGGGAAGAACCGCAAACTATGTTTTATCTTTATGTTTATGTGCACTTTTGTTTGTTGGATCATGCACTTATGTGGAGTTGATGTTGAATTTGACATATTGTTGATTATGCGTGCAACGATGTTGAAATTGCTGTGCTGCTGTTGTGCTGCTGGCCTATTTTTACATCATCTATTGGAGCGGCTGTCGCGTGGCTGCCCTATTTTACATCATCTATTGCGGTTGCACGTTTTTGGTGATGTAAAAAACCACTTTTTGGTGATGTAAATTTTACTCCAACCACTTTTTGGTGATGTATTTCTATTGGTGATGCTCTAAGTTGGGAACCAACTTATGTTGTACAAGTGTAATTATGCCACCACATGATGCAGAAAGCCAGAAGCACAGTGATTCAATGACTAAGTTCTACCGTGAGAGCTAGCAAGATGAACCCTCTGAAGTGGTCATTTCATCCCCAAGGCCACACCAACAGATCTTCCAATACTTGTGACACACCTTTCCTTCTCCAATCACACCCCTCGCATGGTAGCACCAAGTGTGCTGGTGCACAATCCAACAATGTCACGATGCATCTCTCCACTGATTTATGTATGCACGCCAATGAAAGATGAAACTACAATCACTAGTAGTAGTTCACAACAATGATTTCAACTGCTTCATCCCCAAACCACTAAACTTATCTCTACTATTAAATCTCTACTATTAATCTCTACTATTAAAGGAGGATCGAACGTCGTGATGGTTCGACCACATCCCCACCTCCCCCCTTCGTACGACAACCATCGCGCGCGAGGGCTATGCCCGCAGCAGCCCAAAAATCCAACTCCAAATCAGCCCACGCACAGAAAACCACGACCAAGAAAAAAACAGTTCGGCTCAACCCACAAACGAGATGCATGGCATTAATGCGGTAAGAAAACACTGGAAAATAGCCACGACCGACTCCCCACGACGCACGCCCCAACTCTCTCCAACCCCCTCCTCTTCTTTCTTAGTTGGAGTCAGCCCAACTCCTCCAACCCCATCGATTCCAATCTCATCTCTCCCGAGAAACTTCAGTGGACTCGGTCGTGGCGACGAGGGGTGATGGCTCGCCCTCTCACCGTTGAGTCCTGCTCCGTCTCTGCCCTCCATCCACTTGCTCCAAGATGTCTTCCGCGGCCGGCAGCTTCCCCGATTTGGGGTTGTGGCAGCTGTGAAGTATGCGAGGAGGGTGTGCGTCCTCCTGTATGAGAATCCGACGGGTCGTCTTCATCGCAGGCGGCTACGGCGAGGACCAACAGCTCGAACTTGACGCCCTTTGCCTCCGTCAAGGACAGTGTCACAGGTGTGTAGATCTTTGATCTTTTCCTTCGATGCCATTGTCTGATTGTCTCCGTTCCTGTGAAACCAGTATTCCGCCTGGCCGGCGCTTTCGCTCGATGGCAAAACGAACACATAGCAAACCTGGTTTGCCTTAAGGGGTTAAATCAGCTAACAATGTAGCTAGCTAGCTTTGCCTTGAGATGGATCCAATTGGTGGATTGATTGATCGACTAGCAGGTGGATTCTATTGATCGACTAGCAACGCACGCGCACACTGGTATGTGACGTATTTACTGTTTATACTTCAACTCACGGTGATAAAACCTAGGAGCTACATGTATCACCTTTCTAAGTAGAATTAGAATTTCTATATTACTTTGGACAAGCAATCGTTGGTGAAATCTGGCTATATGCATGTGAGATCTATAGGCACCCAACAGAGAGAACTATCAAGCTGCTGATTTCACCATTTTATCTAGAGTTCTAGACTCATTGTGCTAATTCAAGTAGTGCTAAGCAATCATCTAACCTAACTATTAGTCTATTACTAGATTTATTGATATAGTTCATGTTTTGCTGCTTTTCCATTTTTTGCGAATGGAGCGGATTCTGAAATCGCATGTGTTCAATTAGGTTTTGATCGGTCAGCTTGAGTAGTAATTGTTTTTATTGTCCCATTTGTTCTTTCATATAGGCTACCTTGCTATGTTGTACTATAAGATACTTCATATAGGAGGTCAAGCTTAAGGTACAATTCTCAACTTGTCGAGAATCATGATAATCATGATATTTGCCTGCTTCAAAATGCTCCCTGAGGTGTTAGTTGACAGTCCTCTGAATATTATTTGTTTGTTGGTTTTTTTTACAGAATTTGACCATTTGTGCAGGCTTTCGTTCATCATGGATCGACCTTAGTCTTAACGATTACCCTATCAAACATGCAACCCCTGTGATGTGGTGCTCAATCCTGCTATTTCTTAGTCCATTAGTTTTTATGCGTTTTAACCTCAAAGATTTTATTAATTTTCAGTTGGTTTCTAACTAGAGATGCACATAAATAACTTTGTTCTGATTTTCATAAAAGAAATATGGCATGCACCTAGCTAGAGGTTATTGACTATATGTTGCAACCCATTTTATTATGTTGGTCTTTCTTGCACCTAGCCGTGGCCTGTGGAAGCTGCAAACTCATGCGCCAGTGCTGCAACCGCCCTAGAAAAAGCTACAACCAGCGGCCAGTTTTTGTTGCATCGGCGACGGTGATTTTTTTGGCATGTGAGGTAGATGACTGCTACTGGCGACCAAGGAAGATGCATCCCGCTGGAGAAAATGCTACAACCGGCAACAGAAAAAGCTACAACTCGCGGCTATATATGTTGCAAGCGGCGATGTTGAAGTTTTGGCCGCCGATGCTACGACCAAAAAAGCTGGAACCGACGATTTCTTTTGCTACCATCGTCGGAGCAAAAAAACGTGACATCGGCGATCCAAGAGAGGTTGTAACGACGAGCAGCTGGGTACTGCGACGAGCGGCAACGGTGAGGGAAAGGACGCGGGTGCTTTCGCGTCTCGCCGGAGCACACACTCGCGGTGGCTGGGGCAGGGACATGTCACTGGCGGATCTGAACCAAGACGAGTGCGCGGGGCAGAGGGGGAAGAAGATCATGACATGGGGGAAGGCGGATCGGACGGCCCCTGCCTGCTGGATCGGGCGGCAGGAGGCCGACCGGCCCAAATTTGGGTTGGCGCGCCGGCGCGTATCACCGCTCAAACATATTGTTATGAAATATTTGATTTATTTTGAGCAATGTCTCATGTCTAAGTCTATTGTTCCGTGGCAACGCACGGGCATTCAGCTAGTACATGTAAGACACGGATGTCCCAAGCGCTAAATCACAAATGGGCGTCCAATCTACCCTGCAGGAGCAACCAAGTGAAACCCAGACGTGAACTGGGATACCAAGCAGTGATACTTCATTTGCTACTCGCCGCTGATTTACTACTCCACCCCAACCCACATCCGTGCACACACTACCAAGATCGTCTAGACTGGCAACAAAAATGCAGCAATCACCCGATTACCAGCATCACCAAACTAATTTCATAGAGCAAATGAATGGCCAAGGGAAGGTGGCATCCTGGTTCCTAAGAAGCAGATCATGAAGCAAGCAAAGCAAATCCATACTGGCGAGCATACTACCGATTTGAGCAGCTATTAACGGGAAGCGGCGAGAGGTAGGAGTAGTAATTAAGAGACGGGAGGCAAGCAGGCAGTCACCTCTCCTGGCCGGCGGTGTCCCAAATCTGGGCCTTGACGACCTTGCCGTCGACCTGGAGGCTGCGGGTGGCGAACTCGACCCCGATGGTGGACTTGGATTCGAGGCAGAACTCGTTCTTGGTGAAGCGCGAGAGCAGGTTGGACTTGCCGACGCCGGAGTCGCCGATGATCACCGCCTTGAAGAGGTAGTCGTAGTCGTCCTCCGCCCTGTACGCGCCGCCTCCGCTGCCCGCCATCCCCTCCCTGCCTCGCGGGTCCTGGACCTTCTTCCTCCCCGACCTGTGCTAGTGCTAGGCTCTGGATCTCGCGGGGTCTGGGTGCAGCGTTGGCGTCGCTGTGAACGACGACGGAGCAGTAATGGGCGACAGCGACACAGTGTGAACTGGCTGCTGCTACGCAGTCGTAATAAATCTGAAATGCTTATTTGGTGCGCTGTTCTTGTGCATGAAAACCCCTGCGGTTTTATGATTTTGCGATGAAGATAATAAATTTAGTGGCTACTACATATACAGTACGTAGGCCCTGTTTGGTTCATAAGTTCTAGAACTTTTTTTAGTCCCAACTTATAAGTCCCAAGTCCCTAAAAGTCCCTACTTGTTTGGTTCCTAGAACTTATAAGTCCCTATAAGACCATATTACAACTATAAGTCCCTATAAGTCCCTACTTGAAAGTCTTATTTCATAAGTCTCAAATGCCCACTTTAAATCCCTATAAGTCCCTCCTGTTCGGTTTAGATGACACTTATAGAGACTTTTTTAAGTCTTTAATCCAATAAATTCCTGGAAACAAACACCTTCGTAGCCTTTTTATCGTTCCCTTCATCTCCCAGTGATACTTGAATCTAGAAGGGGGGCAGCGGAAAAAGGGCTTTGCCTTTCGTAGACTCCGCTCCAGCGCACGCGAGAAAGAGAAGAAAAGCGGCGACGCCTCCTCGTTGGTGGGTGCGAGTCTGCGAGCGAGCGACCGTGTCCCGCCCCGTGCGAGGCGGGGGAGCCCGCGGCGCAGGGGCTCGGCTCGTAAAACGGTCGGCGCGGTAGATCCTGCCTGACGCCGTCGGCTCAAACGGCGTGCGCTATGTCGACCCCGTCCCCGACTCCCCGTCGGTCGTTTTTCTATCGAAGACCACGGCCCCCGCCGTCTGCTTCCCCGTGCATTGGTGAATGCGGCTACAGGGAATGCCAGCGGCGCATCCGAGATCCTGCACATGAACACACATCGGACCCCGCGAGCCGAATCAATAGCACAGCGCATCCAGGGGATCGCGGTTTCCACGGAAACGACCTCCGTCCCCCGAATACGCGACGTTTTTTTTTACTTTGTACGGTCGACCAATAAAGTTTTTGAACAATATATAGTTTTTTTTTGCGAGAAATATATAGAGTTTTCCCATGAACGTGTAGAAAAATACTTTTTTTTGTGAGAGGGGTAGAAAAATACTTCATTTCTAAGATGCTTCATCCAAACTGACGACTTTTTCTCCGAGCGTTTTCTCCTCTTTTCTTTGGTGGCTAGGCAAAATCTCCCCTCCAGACTATGCCGGTGAGCCCGTAGGTTCGTCTTCCCTGTGCATGTCGCTCCGCAGTCGGTGGTGGGGAAGGGAATTGCGATGCCTTCACTCCGGCTAGTAGTTTAGGGTAGTGTTTTTATAGTCCTCGCTGGTGCGGCGCTCGGTGGATGGCGGTGTTTTTCCTTAAGTTTGTGTTCCGCACTCCGATCCTTCTCAAATTCGTCCATTTGTACGTGGTCAACGGAGCTTCGGCGTAAATTCATGTTGTCTCCTTGGGGTGGTGACTTGGGGTTTCTCATCTTGCGTTCGCGATGGCTAGATTTGGTGTCAGTTGTTGCAGATCTATTCAAGAGTTCAACGACGACAACTGCTTCAAGGTGTTGGCCCTTAGGAGCACGTGCATGCAGACTTCCCGACTGTCATCAACAAGGTCAAACCGACTCTTGTAGGGGAGCGTCGACGGCTTGTTTTGACAGCAATAGTGGTCGTTCAGTGGTCAAGAGACTTCAATGTAATTTTCTTATTATACTTGAGGTGCTTTGTATTTCTAATGAACTTTTATAATAGATCTGAATCTTTTTCCAAAAAAAATATTTATCATGTAGCAACTTCTCATATTAGTCCAATGTAATTTTGTTTATTATACTTGAGGTGCTTTGTATTTCTAATGAACTTTTATAATAGATCTGAATCTTTTTCCAAAAAAATATATTTATCATGTAGCAACTTCTCATATTAGTCCCTCTGGTAACAAAATTTAAATTTGTTGAGTCATCATTCGAGCATGCAGAGGCCAGGACGTTGACCTAAAAAAACTCAGCATATTGCAATACTGCTCTTCGGACTACCTTTCTATATCTTGAATTCAAGGGTTTTATAGTCTAGTGTCTAAACGTCATATGTGAGTTGAACTCTCCCAAAAGTCAATTTGTAAATGGAATTGTATGGTACTCCTCCAAAGGAGCAAATCGACTCGACATTTTTTGCAAATTGACTTGGCTGGTATGGGCGTATTTGGTTGCTCGCATGAATTTTGGCCCCCTTATACGAGTGCCCTCGTGGAGCCTGGTTGAAGTGATACATCACATGGGTCGTGTTCCGCAACCCGTTTGGTTGCCCGCAAAGCTCCAGGTTGCATTAGGACAACAACAACAACAAACATTTGGTTGCCTATGTTTTAGGATTTTGGCGGGGTTGATGCAGTACGTGGTGTTCGATGAGACACATTTAGTGGTGTGGTTACGTTGCACTCCATGTGGTGAGCTTACCATCTACCACCGTAACGAATGATGGCATTGCATGCTACATACCATCATAAAGAGGGATAGGATAACAGCAAAACCACAACCACGACGAATTGGACGTTCTCCAGTCTGCTTAACCCAATTCGACATATACCCTAACCACAACTTCATGATTGCTCTTCTTTCTAAGCGCAAACTTAGAGTATTCATCCTCCGCCTCCTAGAAAAAACTCTCTATAGCAGTTGCGCTTGTAATCGTGCACTTGTTCATGGCATGCTTGCCATGAACTGTGGAACCTCCCTGAGTACACCACATACCACTTAAATCTAGCAAGACAAAAGAACAAAATTTCAACAAGCAAGACAAGTTGACAAGAACATAGGGAACATAAGCAACATAAGCATGCATGATTCATATACCCAAAAGCATCATCGGTTCATCCTACCTACTACGGTGTCATCCTACCACACATCAAAAGAGGGTGTAATCATACCACCGCAAATTCACCTGAGATGTTAGTATATACCACAACAACCAAATATACAGGCCTTCAACAATTTTCAAACCCTAGCTACCACAAAATATACCCATCATGCAAGCAACATGCCACCACCACCAGAAGCACTTGCACCACAAATAATGCCATGTGATCCACTTCCATCCCAATAAACCCAGGACCTTGTGTCATGTTGTTCACGAGGTGGCTAAGAGTGACCATCAAAGCCTCCTCATTGAACCCCCGATGTTCATGGTAGCACTGTAGAGGTCAGGGTGCACATCGAGATGCCTATTGTCCCTGATGTCGGATGCCACCTACTTGAGGGCCTTCATCATGATGGTCAAAGCGTTCAGATCCTCCTTCACGAAGGTGGTCCTCTTCCTCTTCCTCACGGGACCAAGAACATGATCACCAACCTTGTTAGGGCCATCAAGAATGATGGTCTTTGGCTCCTAGATCTCGGGATAATTAGAGGAACGTGAGCAAGAGGATCACTGGAGACCATGGCATCCTTGCTAATAGCAAGAGCCCAGGAGAAAATGGTTTGCATCTGATAGTAATTTTGGATGGGCCTGTTGAGGTACTCACCGTCCTTGGGGTGATCCCAAGAATGAAAGACAACGGTGTAAGTTGTGATTGCCATGTTAGATCAAGTGAAACAAGCGGTAAGTTAGCTAACCGTGATGTGGTCTTTGTAGTGCTCATCCTTGATACATCTTTAACGTATCTATATTTTTTTATTGTTTCATGCTATTATATTATCACTTTTGTATGCTTTATATGCAATTTTATATTATTTGTATGGACTAACCTATAAATTTAGTACCCTGATACGTCTGTTTTGCATCATGCTTTTATATCAATATTTATTGCATTATGGGTTGTTATTACACGTTATGTCACAATACTTATGGCTATTCTCTCTTATTTTACAAGGTTTATCATAAAGAGGGAGAATGATGGCAGCTGAAATTCTGGCTGGAAAAGGAGCAAATATTGGAAACCTATTCTGCACAGCTCCAAAAATCCTGAAACTCCACGAAAGTCACTTTTGGAATTAATAAGAATTATTGAATGAATAAAATACTAGAGGGGGCCCACACCCTGGCGAGGAGGGTGGGGGGCGCCCCCCCTACTGGGTGCGCCCCCTGTCTCCTGGGCCCCTTGTTGGCCCTCCAGTGCCCATCTTCTGCTATATGAAGGCTTTCACCCTGGAAAAAATCAGAGGCAAGCTCACAAGACGTAACTCTGCCGCCACGAGGCAGAACCTTGGCGGAACCAATCTAGGCTCTGGCGGAGCTGCTCTGCCGGGGAAACTTCCCTCCGGGAGGGGGAAATCATCACCAACGATCCTCTCATCGGGAGGGGGTCAATCTCCATCAACATCTTCACCAGCACCATCTCCTCTAAAAACCCTAGTTCATCCCTTGTATCCAATCTTGTATCAAAACCACAAATTGGTACCTGTGGGTTACTAGTAGTGTTGATTACTCCTTGTAGTTGATGCTAATTGGTTTATTTGGTGGAAGATCATATGTTCAGATCCTTAATGCATATTAATACTCCTCTGATCATGAACATGAATATCCTTTGTGAGTAGTTACGTTTGTTCCTGAGGACATGGGTGAAGTCTTGCTATTAGTAGTCATGTGAATTTGGTATTCGTTCGATATTTTGATGAGATGTATGTTGTCTCTCCTCTAGTGGTGTTATGTGAACGTCGACTACATGACACTTCACCATTATTTGGGCCTAGAGGAAGGCATTGAGAAGTAATAAGTAGATGATGGGTTGCTAGAGTGACAGAAGCTTAAACCCTAGTTTATGCGTTGCTTCGTAAGGGGCTGGTTTGGATCCACTAGTTTCATGCTATGGTTAGGTTTACCTTAATACTTCTTTTGTAGTTGCGGATGCTTGCAATAGGGGTTACTCATAAGTGGGATGCTTGTCCAAGAAAGGGCAGTACCCAGGCACCGGTCCACCC